CCAAAACTAAGAACTGGATTATGCAACAGAGAGAAATTAGAAATCCTTGAGAGAGGAGTTTCTGTGCATCATCTGAAGCTACTCAAACTGCAAATTCTGCTTTCTAGACTAAGATATTATTAAATTCTACATCCACACGGCAGGTTTAATGCTGTTTTCCCTGCCTGTAGTACAACCAACAATTTGTTTCCTTTTGGATTTTACCCTGGGCAAAGAGTGGGTAAGATGTTGCAGTAGTTTGGTTGGGAAGATAGTGGTGATGAAACACCAGTAGTTACTAACACTACGAAATTACTTGATCAGTGTTTTGGGCCCCTGCACTCCAGCACACTGAGGTGAGCAGGAACTTTTCCTTTGGTATCAGTAGGTTTCCTATTAAGTTTGCATTATTATTTACAAGCCCAGCAGCTGAGCTGACTAAATATGCCAGGCAGGTGTTTGAGATGTTAGAGAAACCCAAACTGTCACTTAAACTTTGCTTGTGAATGAACTCTTCTCGTTACCTCTGCTTTTCACACAAGACCTGTCACTCTTTATAAAACCTTGTATTACATTCTCCCTCTTTGTGTGCAGCTGGTCTCCATAGGTAACAGAAGGCAGAAAACTAGAGCTGTCAGTGCTCTGACAAAGTAACAGTGTTGTCTTTTTATCCACACTCCTGTGAACAGGACATTAAAAGGGAAGTTATTTCTGGATGTTTAATTTGATTTCTCCACCTAATGGGTCTTTTTCCTCCTCAGAAGCGAACATCCACTGGCCCAGCTGTACTGCCACTCAATCATGGAGCATCATCATTTTGATCAATGCCTTATGATCCTGAACAGCCCAGTGAGTGCCACATTCTTCTGTCTGCTGAAGGAAACTGTTCTACTTTCTATTTTTAGCTTCTGGATAGAATCCCACCCTTATACATTCTCAAGTGCTCTTTATTCCTTTTTGGGTAAAGAAAGCAAATGCAGCAGCTTCGAAATCCCAGTTCCACTGCTGAGCGCCACCAAACCTTTCCAAGTGTTGCCTGATAAGGGAAGCCTTGCTAAAATCCTTTTGGGTACCTGCTTCCTTGGCCCAAGGCAAACAAAAGGCTTTGTTGCCATTTCATGACCTCTTACGAACCACCAAACAAACCCAAGTTCCTTGCTCTCATTCCAAAAAAACATTCCAGCCTACACATACACAAAGCAGCCCTGATGAGACCAAACCAAACACTGCTAATGTTGACATTCCAAAGTGAAGCCAAACCTAAGTTAAGTAAATATGCAAATAAAACTACATTCTTCTTGTTTCATGTTATTAACTAATTCTGAAGCCCAGTTATTCAGTGTGCACAATCATTTCAAAGCACTGCTCCTTTCATACCACAGTTATGGTACTTCTGGCATCCTTCGTATTGTAGTGATTGTTTCCTACTCAGATGGGCAAATATGGGGAAAAAAGCGGAGGCAAGTTGCCATTTCACCAGCTTTGTGATGCTTTGGTTTAACAGGAGGCTGCTGAGCTTTTATTTCTGTCTAACAGCTTTGTTACTGATGCTGCTTCATAAAAGGAAAATATTTTCATTTACTAGAGGTGCACAGACAGGTACTGGAGTCTGTCACAATTCCTCTGCTTTGGGAAAGGGGAGAAAGAGGAAAGAGAAATGCTGTGGTAGAGCTTGTGGCAAATTTAATTTTGATGAATGAGATGGGCTTGGGAGCTTGGATGTTGCTCTGTTTACAGTTTCATTTTGTAATAGTCAATTTTGATGCTGTGGCTGTGCAGCTTTCTGCCATTACTCAAGAAGAGTGGAATTTTTATTTTTAAGCTGGGGAATCTGCAGAAGGAAGCAGGGTAAAAGAATGACATCAGCAAGCAACTCATAATGATTTAGGAGCTTAAGACACATTTTAGCAAACTGGTGTGCCGCTGCCCATTTTATGATAACACTGCTTTTTGGCTTTTTTTCTAAAGGGAAATCAGATTCTCAGCAACCTTTCCATTGAAGAATACAAGGCTACACTGAAAATGATAAAACAAGCCATTCTTGCCACAGACCTAGCACTGTACATAAAGTAAGTCAGAGGGAAGTTTGGCTGGATAACCATTGCCGGATGTTTGGATCGTGCCATCATGCTGCAAAATCTTTTCTTTTAAAGGAGGAGAGGAGAATTTTTCGAACTTCTAAGGAAGAAGCAGTTTAATTGGGAAGATCCCACCCAGAAGGAGCTGTTTTTGTAAGTAAAAGCAGAACAATTGAGAAGTGAGCTGATATTATTAGGTACCCATTTCCCATGCCATGGTGCTGTGAATGTCCTTAAAACCAGCAGGTCTGTGTGCTCTGGGCCTGGACAAACTGACACTGTCATGCACTGAATAGCTCCCTGGGCCTGAACTACTAAGTCTTCAACCTGTAGAATAAACTTTATTAGGTATCATATGAAGTTATGGGAGCATTTTTGTTCTTCCTAGAGAGTGTAGGGTCCCTGTCTAGGAATCACGTTCTTTTGCTCTTGATACTTTATGTTTAAACAGTGAATTTCTGAAACCTGTAACTGAAGAGTCAGGACAGGCAGTTTGGTTTGAAGCTGATTCCTTACTGGCAACGAAGAAGAAAGAAGACTAAGAATAGAGGCATCTAACACAGCAACAGGCCTGGGCTACATTTATAACTCTGCTTTAATTTCAGTTGCTTTTCTGCCTTGGATCTTCCCTGAAATTCTATTTTACTGATCACTTGACTTGGTGGTTCCATACATTTCACCATGCAGTAAATCACACACTTCTCTCTGTTTGTTCTACAGAGCCATGCTGATGACTGCTTGTGATTTATCAGCCATAACCAAACCATGGCCAGTCCAGCAACGGGTATATGCTCCATTTTTAAGATTTACTAAATGCAAACTGCGGGACAGCTTCTGCTTCCTCCATCCAACCCTTTTTGCAAAGGCAGTGGTGGAATGCAGAGCTGGAGTCTCATTAAGGGGGGGGGGGGGAGGAATCCCAGCTTGATAGATCCACATTAGAGCTCTCAATGTGTGAAATCTCTTACAGATTGCTGAGCTTGTAGCTACTGAGTTCTTTGATCAAGGAGATAAAGAGCGGAAGGAACTCAACATAGAACCAACAGTAAGTGGCAGAATCACCTCTTGCCAAATGGCTTCTGGAAACTGCACTTCAAAATCCACAATTTCTCCCACTGACCAGAATATAGGACCAACTCCTTCCCTGCCTTCCTTTCTGTGGTTCTCAGACATCAGCAGGGTGTGTCATTACCTCTGAACCAGAACAACAGATTTCACTGCTTCCTTCAAATCTGTATTACTAAACCATCTAGGAAATACATTGTTAAATTGGTACCTACTTGCAGCCTATCCAAACCCAGGAAGTTTGCCTGTGTTTCTGGTTATTTGGGCTCTTTCTGTCCAGAGCAAATCTCCTCAGGGAAGTCATGCAGTCAAATTACCTGCATTGTAACACTTCTACTGATACCCCCGCTGGGCTGAGCTCGCTGTGCTGTTTAAGGTGCTGCTTTTTAATTCCAGCCTGTCCCTTTGGGTTTAATTGGGTTTTTTATTTAATGCATTTAAACACAGAGCTTGTTTATTTCTTACCTGTAGGATCTAATGAACAGAGAGAAGAAAAACAAAATTCCCAGCATGCAGGTTGGATTTATAGATGCTGTTTGCTTGCAGCTGTATGAGGTATGGTGGCTAAGAAAGAACTGCAAATATCTAAAACCAGAACTGCTCACTAGTAGACACAGATTTAAAATTAGAATAACAATCAAATAAAGAACCAGTCACTTAGGTAAAAAAAATTTATTATTTATTACATATAGGTCACTATTCAGCTGAAGAAATCATTATTTTAGTATTTATAATTAGTGGTATGTTTGTCTGATTAGTGTAATTTGTTATCATTTCATTAAACCTAGTGGTAATTGCCGTGCTCTGTGCAACTGGTGTTATATCCCTGGGTTATATTCTGGGATTCCAGCTGCTGTGATCATCAGGGAAACTCACAAAACTAATGTTTTGCTATCTAGGAAAAGAACGGTATTCATGTAGTGCTTTGATAGAAATATTGTTTAAGAGTTTTAAGGAATTCAGAATTCTTCACATAGAAGGAGATACGCTGCGTGCAGAAAATGTACCCAAGTTTAACTTTTCCCATCCCATTTTTTTCTTTCATCTCACACCAAAGCAGTGCATGAGAGAATTCATTGAAATGGGGTTTTTTTGTCCTGGTCACAAACTGTATGAAAAGCTCCTTGGTCAAATACAGCGCGAAACACAGCATAATGATTTCTGATTATTTTTTAAACCAGTGAAGACTTAGAGGGAAAGTCTGTTCATTGGGACAGAAAACTGTAGGAGGTAGGCAAAGGTACAGACTATACAAACAGAAAACTCTTTGAACAGAACACCTGAGCAGGTTCGAAGGCCCACAGTCCCAGAACCTGAACTTCTATACTTTTATTTTTCGGTCTTTTCAATTATGATTCAGTGCCTCACTTTTATTTGTCACCTTATTTTAAAGGCTCCCCTGAACAGGAACAGCATAGAGCAGGCTGACAGTGTCTGGGACTTTATCTAGGCTCGTGTCCTAAGCTGACAGAGAAGTGAGAGTGACTTACCTGCAGTGGCAGCGAGCACCGAAGAGGATGGGGAGCCTTTGAGGTGGTGACAAACCCAAAAGACTATGCTAAATGCAAGAAAAGGGCTGTGGTTTGAGTTTATTTTTACTGGAGTACAGTTAGGGGGTATTACCTGCTTACACAGATTTTTGGGTTTTTTAATGAGTAATAAAGGATAGAACATATAAACAACTTCAGTGTTACTTTCAAAATGAACAAGCACAGGGTTCACTCTCCAATGTTCTAATGCAATAAAAGCAAACAATTAACAGGTTTGTAATGGCAGCCTTTTCACTGCTTTTGTAGCTTTCATCCAGGCAGAAGGAATTTGACGCACAGTGCAAACAGAAATGAGTTCTCAGTCCAGCACTGCAAGAATGTGACTTACCGTGTTATTCAGAGTAGGTCAGATCCCAGTGAACTGAAGTTTTGTGGCTTGTGTTAGCTGAGTAACCGGTGCAGTTCAGCTGAATGATCTACAGGTCTACCCTCCAAGTTCAGAAATCTGTAAAAAAATACAAGAAACATGGTTTATTCTCTTCATTTTTAATTAAAAGCTAAATGCAATCTGTTTTACACGTTCTTAATCTATTTCAGGCCCTAACACACGTGTCAGAGGCCTGCTCCCCTCTACTGGATGGCTGTAAAAAGAACAGGCAGAAATGGCAGGCCTTAGCTGAACAGCAAGAGAAGAACCTGATTAACGGAGAGAGCAATCAAGGCAAACGGAACTGAGATGCTGATTTACCAACCACAAGCTTAAGTTCACGTAGGAGACATAGTAATAGGGGAGTACTGCATTTTGCTGAACACTGTATGAATCTGGCTTGTGTTTTGCCACTGCTGTATTATTTTTCCACGTTCCAAGATATAGCATGACCACGTGTATGCCAAGAGATAGGACGTTTCTTTTGTTACATCTGACTGAGATGGAAAAAGAGACCTGCAAGGGTAGTTTTTGCCCCCCCCCTCCCCGGCTCCAGCAGAAGGTACTAGTGCAGTGACTCGACTGTGCCCGAGAGCCTCTGACTTTCCAGATGTACATAGTTGTTTGGTGATCATGTTGTGGCCAGTATCTTAAAGACTACTGCGTTTCGCACCCTTTTTCTTTTTCCTCTGCCAGTCTTGCTGTGTTATGTTATAAAAGTCATGAGCAGTCTCGCCAGTTCTCTTCCCAGAGGCTCGGAGGGGAGACTGGGACTCTCTCTGGGGAGCCTAATCCAGCACATACCATGCTGACCTCCTTCAGAAGACACAACTGGGCTCTGAGGTGAAAAAGCCCCAGAATTTATGCACCCAGTAGTTCAATTTTGGGGCTTTTTTTTTTTTTTTTCCTATCCAATGGATGTCTCAGCAAATGTCTTATTACATCTGAAGACATTTTTAAGACCCCTGTGAAACGCTAGGCAATGAGGGTCTTAGGAGTTTCGTGGTGGAAGTGTCACAATTATCCGTGAGTAATGGAAACTGCTTTGAAGACTGCTGAAATGTCCCAGCATAACTGCCAGGCTGCCATGGAAGGATGGCTCCCACAGGAAGCTGCAAGGAGCACAGAGAGAAACGGAATCTGAACAGGATCATTTTTATCTGCTGGTTTTAACTTCATCTGGAAGTTGATTTTAACATCATCCAACCGACAGACGGGATCACAGGCGGAAGAGAACGTGACTGCAAGGGCAAGAGGTGACAATCGGAATCAGAAAGATGCAGGAATGGCACAATCCTGGTGACTATCCGTGACTGATTCTTTAGGCCAGTGTTGCTAGGAAATGGCTATGACCACTTGGAAGGAAGTTTTATGTTAACATCTTTTAAAAAGCATTTTTAGCGTTAGTTAACAATGATTCAACACAGTGTCTTAAAAAAAAAAAAAAAAACAGGGGAAAAAAAGAGTACCAAAAGCAAAACTAGCCAGGAATGCTACAGGGATTTGCCAATTGTATATGAGGCATTAATGTTCTGAAAAGTAGGAAATCAATGAACTTGCACTAGGGAAAAAAACCCAGCATTGGTATTTTATTTAAAAGAAGGTGATTAATAAAAATGGTTTTGAATTGGGAACCAATTAAGGCAAATGTAAGAGCTGGTGAGAAAGAAGTGAAAACTCCCTATTTTTATCAATTTCTTCATTTAGATAAACTATACCAGAAGCTAAGAAAATGTAAAGCAAATGTTTCAAAATGTCTGACGATACTGAGTTTCATAGTTGATTTTTTTTTTTTATGTAGAATAAGGTACTCTGACAGTCAGCAGCATTTCTGCCAACCTAAATTATTTGTCACTGATTAAATCCTATCTCAAACTTCTCTGATGATCACCAATAATGTATTATTGCAGCTGAATTTGAAAACATTTTTCTACAGAAGCATTTCTCCTGATTTTCTGCGCACAGATTTAAAAAAAAAAAAAAAAAAAAAAAAAAGAAAGTATGGATTTCAATAATCATTCAGAATTCCAGGACTACTGTTATGCAGTGCTGCATATGTGTATTTATATGCAAATGACAGCAGCCTGCCACCTCCAACAAAACCTTTTAGGGACTTTTTGATGAA